AGTTGTCCAACTCATCCAATGGACTGTTGTTTCCCAGTCGGGTGGAGGCAGACACACTGCAAGAGTGATGACAACACTGTCATCGATCTCTCCACTGATTGGCGAAATCAGTCGTGTGGATTGACATGTTGGATCGATCAGGACAGGAAGGAATTCTGTTGGATATTTCACACCGACCGAGATATCATTGAAGGCTTGAGGTTGTGGAGGCAGTGTGGCTGTGTGGTGTACAAAAGTCGCTTGGAACTCCTTCAATGGAGCCTGGGATTTCACTGATACACCTGGAAATCACCACCACATCGGCACACGTGTACACATTCATCTCGGAAGCTTCGAATCACCATTCCACATAGGCCAGAATAGCTGCGTCAGTCGAGATCATCGTCTCATCTGTGTATATATCGCAGGTGAACTAGACATCTATCCTCCGAAAGACAAACACACACTCGTTAATGATAATTCCATGGACGGACATACACACACACACACACACACACAAAAACATCTCACTGAATGTGCTGTCACATACACTCTCTCCAGTCATCTCGATGATGACGACGGCATCCACCGGTGGAATATTATGATTATAACTATACGATTATTATTGTACCGCCTCTAATTAAAATTATCGGTATTATTTAGCAGACTTATGACAGTTGTACTGCCAGTCGGACTAGCCAGAAGACTGACAGTGTTAGCGATTCTGATAATGGTAATAAGTAGATGGACAGTTGCAGGCGATATGACAATTACTTCGGTGACAACGATGACCACGTTGACAGTGTATATGATAGTGGTCACGGTGTTTGGCAATAATGGTGATCCCCGATGACAGGCAAATCGTCAGGTGAAGTGAGTGAAGACGAGAAGTGAATACGAAATCACTGTTGTTGGCTGTGTGCATGTCTGTGTGTCTGCATGTTGACATGCCAGTCTACCCACGTCGTTCTGTGACGTTCTGTCGTTCAGCTTGTCTATGTGTGTGTGCGTTTGTGTGTGTGTGTGTGTGCGTGAGCGTGTGTGTTTGTGTATGGAACGCTGTGTGTCAATATCTGACTCACTAGATTGTTGGATGTTCGTGTTCATCTGACA